GAGAGATCGATAGAGAGCAAGAGAAAGAAAAAGAGTAGGTTTGAAAAAATTTTACATATGTAAACTTCGATATATATTATATACATATATGTATTATTTATGTATTTCGTGTGTATACACACACATAGACGTATGTAATATAGACACACATACATATTTTCACGGGTACACAATGCATTTTATATACAATATATATGCTTTGTTGTACTAAACAATCAAAAACAAAAAGATTTTTATATGTATAAACGTGCGTATGTACAATGCATTCCATACATGTTGTACTAAACAGTACAAAAACGTAAAGAGTTTATGTTTGTATATACGCATATACAACGCATTCCATACATGTTATATGTACTCACTAATCAAAACAAAAACATAAAGAATTTAAGAACAAGAGAAATAGTTTTATCATTTTTACACAGATTGTGCGATAACAGTGTGACTCATCTCCACAGTTCTGTGTTTGTTAATGATAGTGAAGTATTGGAGCTATAAATATTGGTGAAGTGGCAATATTTAAAGGTAATTTTTATCTCTGTATTATTTTTAAATTTTATATATGCATATACGTAAAATATAATTTAATAATTTTAAAGATTATTTAATAGGGAGTATAGGAATATATATATACAGGGTGTCCCATAATTCGCGAACCACCGCGAATGGGCAGATAGAGCGTGTTAAACTGAATAGAAAAGTCCTGTATCATTTTGCGATATTCGCAATAATTATTGAGTTATTTATTAAAATAACTAAACAAATAAGCAGGTAGAAAGCATTATTTGATCGAGAGGTGGCGTCATGCAGCGAGCGGCGACCAATGTAGTGGCGCCGAAAAGTAAGATGATACTTTTGATACTAAGCGGTACATGCATACCGAGTCCGGCCTACCGCTTTCTACCCGCTCATTCGTTTAGATATTTTAGTTAATAACTCAATAATTATTGCGAATATCGCAAAATGATACAGGACTTTCTATTCAGTTTAACACGCTCGTTTAGATATTTTAGTTAATAACTCAATAATTATTGCGAATATCGCAAAATGATACAGGACTTTTCTATTCAGTTTAACACTCTCTATCTGCCCATTCGCGGTGGTTCGCGAATTATGGGACACCCTGTATATATAAATATATATACAATATATATATATATATACTTTGACACAAATTTGTATGTATATCGAGACATATTTAATTTAATATATGTTTAGATTTATTCAAAAAATCAATAATTTAAAAGAATATCCGGGAAAAAATATTTTATATATAAGCATATATAAATATATATGTATATAAAACGGCAGTTTTCGGTCTATTTTCAATGATAAATTGGCAGTTTCCAGGACTTTTGGCAGTTTTCGGTTCAGTTCTGAAAGTTTTGTCCTTGTAATGACAGTTTTCAAGACGGTCTTGAATAATGCCTATCAACCTGTTTCATATAGAAGGTCCTTGATATAACCTTTATGTTGAATAGTTTTATTTACTATTTATATAAATACTTTAATTTAATAATAAATGTATAGATATAAATGAAACATGTATAGATATCTTTGGAAATATTTTCTTAATGTATGTACCTACATGTAGTTACTATGTATACAGTAGCACAGGACCTTGCAGCAATATTGCAGCAATATTGCAATCTTGCATATTGCAATGTAATATTGCAGCAATATTGCAATCTGAAATATTGCAATGCAATACTTTAGCAACATTGCTGAAATATGAATATAAAACATTGCTGTAATAATGTGGTAATAATGTTGCAGCAATATATATTGAAAATATACTGTTATAATTTTATAAATAGTAAAAATAATATAATATATTAATTTAATTGGTGTACGCATTTGCATATTTTTTTATTATAATTTAGCAATCTTAAAATTGTTATCATTATTATGTAAAACACGAATGAGTTTATAATATTAATTATTATAATTATAATATAAAAATTATTAATAATATTATTAATTATTAATAATTATATTTATATTTAAATATTTTGTTGCTTTCGCGAGCTGAGACTGAAACGTTTATCCTATAGACATATCATATATATGTATATATATGTGTGTGTGGGTGTGTGTGTGCTATGGTTCAGCTGTTTTGAGATTTTGCACCGGGCGCCGGGTGTAGTTCGGAAAGTGCGAAGTGCGAGGTTCGTTCACGGGTGATATAAGTGATTATTAGCGACAAGTGCAATAAACATAATCAATCAATTAATTTTATTTTAAGTGCACAACGAAGCAAGGAACACGTATGTAAAATGGCATTATTATACATTTCCAGCAGAATATGGTTGTTTAATAATTACAATTTAATTTAACTTAACCTAACCTAAATTGAAACTTATTGTTTTAGTGAGAAATAAAATCCATCGAGCTGAGTTTTTACTTTAAATTCTTTCGACCGGCGTAATCGAAAAATTATCGCCAATCTTTTTGAAATCCGTATCTAGTTAATAAAATATTTGACTGCTTGTTATTCACTTACATTTCCTTCTATATATATTTCTATATTTTTCTATATACATATTCTTTTATACATTTTATTTCTTATATTTATTCTATAATTGTATATATTTTTATATATTTTTACAAATATATACTTATTATAATTATATATATTTTAATTTCATTAGTTTATATTTCAGATACGTTTACATGTACATATATAAATACGTATATTTGTTTTATTTTCTTGTAATTATTTTCTAAATGTTTTCTTCTTAAATTTTTGCAATACAATTTGCATAGTTTACTTATTGTAGAAGAAATATGAACACACGTAAAAGAAAACTTATTTCAAAACGCCACAGTAGACGGATTGTTGCAAATCAAACAGCTATAGATATTGCAGGATCTTCTAGAGAAATTTTGGAATGGCATACTATCAATACTTCTTCTAAACAGACTTCAAATGTAAAATTGTGTAAAGTCACTGATGAAGAAGTTTCTTTATGTAATACAAACAGTGTTAATAATATGATTAATAATGTGCATGTCAAAATTACATCTTCAGATGTTAATAATGATAATAATAATAATAATAATAATGATAACTTTGTTATAAATGATGAAATACATAAACCTAATAATGATGATGAATTAAATAAAGCATTAGCTACATGGGCTGTATCACACAATATTTCTCGCACTGCTTGTAATGAATTGTTGAAAATTTTCAAGCAATATACTTCGCATAATCTACCTACAGATGCACGAACACTATTAAAAACTCCAAGAAAAACCCAGCATATTTCAAAAATATGTGAAGGAGAATATTTATATTTTGGTTTGAATAATATTATTCAGAAAATGCTATTAAAAGATAATAATACATATGTTAATTTACTAATTAATATTGATGGTTTGCCATTATCAAAATCTTCTCAAGCGTCATTATGGACCATTTTATGTTCAAATACTGTCAATAAGACAGTATATCTCGTTGGTGCATATTTTGGTTATAAGAAACCTACAGATTCTAATATTTTTCTAGAAGCCTTAGTCGATGATTTAATTAATTTCACTAATAATGGTTATATTTATAATGAAAGCATAATCAAAATTAGATTGTTTGGTTTAATTTGTGACGCACCTGCCAAATCTTTTGTGTTATGTGTAAAAGGCCATACCGGATTTTACAGTTGTACGAAATGTGTGATTAAGGGGAAATATATTAATGGTAGAGTTTGCTTTCCATATAAAAAAACATTTCCTTCTAGAAAAGATGAATTATTTTCCGCTAATACTTATCAAGATTTTCAGATTGGATTTTCTATTTTAAATAATATTCCTGGATTTTTGCCTATAAGTAACACACCACTAGATTATATGCATCTTATATGTTTAGGCGTCGTCAAAAAAATTATCCTTCTTTGGATAAAGGGTCCACGTAATGTACGCTTAAGTATCAGATCTATTAATAAAATATCACACTTGTTAATTTTGCTGAAAAATTCAACACCAAACGATTTTGTTAGAAAACCCAGATCATTAAAAGATGTTAAACAATGGAAAGCAATAGAGTTTAGAAATTTTTTATTATACACAGGACCCATTGTATTAAGACATATATTAAAGCCAGACATATATCTTCATTTTCTCACTCTACATATAGCTGTCACAATTCTTATACGTTCAAATTTAAATGAAGAACTAATAAATTTTGCGGAATCTTTACTAAATCATTTTGTCATATCATTTGAAATTTTATATGGTAAACAATACATGTCGCATAATATACATAATTTATTACATATATGTTCCGATGTAAGAACATATGGTCCATTAGACAATTTTAGTGCTTTTCGTTTTGAAAACTATATGGCATCGATCAAAAAACGATTACGTAAAAATAAAAAACCGCTTCAACAATTATATAAAAGATATAATGAAATTGAAAATTGTAATTCTTTTCTGTCAAGTATTAATAATGAAACATTAAATTCATATAAATATTTACATAACAATGGTCCAGTACTAGATAATTATGTCTTTTGAAAAGCGGTCAATATGTTTTAATTTTGAATATAGTGCAAAAAAATAAAGATTTTTTGCTTATTGGTAAGAAACTTAAGTACATAAAAGATGTATATGAATTACCATACAAATCCAATAATTTTAATATAAAAGTAATGACAGTAAATAATGATAGCATATTTTCATGGCCAATTACAGATTTATTAGGTAAAGCATGGAAAATTCCTTTCGGAAATTATGCAAATACATTCGCAATATTTCCTCTTAATCATACAATATAATTATATATATTAATTTTTATGTGTTGTAGATAATAATTTTTATGTGTGTTATATAATAATTTTTGTGTGTGTTATATAATAATTTTTTTTTCAATAATGTATTTTTGTGTTAATTAATATCTTTTTTTAATAATGTAAACTACACATGTGATGTTATACGGAATATTTCACATCACAGAAAAATGGATAAGTACCAATTTCTCATTGCGGAATTTCATGACGGGTTACAAGTTATACCCTCAGAATGGTGCAATGCCGATAAATTATCATGTATATGGCCTAATCATATGAAAACTAAATATCGCATTAACAAGGCCATATTGGCAAGAGAGATGCCTCGAGAAAAATCTGATTGGGAAGAGTTACCAATAAAAAGAATTTTTGGTGGAGCAAGTAAGAGAACTTTTTTTATATAAATTATCATTTAATATATATAAATATTGTATACATTTTTCTTTTGTTTTTAATAATTTAGATACTTATGAAGAAAGTTTACAAAAATTAAGTCTAGCACAAGACACGTCAAATATAGATGACACTGGGATGTCTTCAAATGATTTAAGAGAACAAAATAAAAAGCAAAGACGTATGAAAGCAAAGAAAAAAATATTATCATCTTCTTCTTCAGAAGAAGAAGATATCTATTTAAAAAATAAAGAAAATAAAATAAATGTAATACAACATAAAATCTTGCCTCCTTTTCCTGACAGAGGCAATTTTGTTAATAAAGTCATTGAGCCTATACAAAACATTACAAATATTTTACGTGAAAAAAATATTATTAATCCTATAAACAGTAATGGTAAGTTATAATTAAAACTTATAAATACATGATTTATAACAAAAATCATTAATTTTTTATTTTTTAGATAAAAATAATAAGGAAATTGCTACGAATAATATAAAGATTCTTCAAGATTCTTCTGAAAATACTGAGAAAGGTTTGTCTGCTTATGATATTTATTATAAAAGTTAATTATTGTTATATTTATTACTTTTTTTTACTAAAAGGCCCTGTAGTTAAAAATAAAGTATATATGTATAATTATTGTATGATATTTAGCAGCAAATAATAGCATTAATTAAATTATATATATATATATATATATATATATATATATATGTATATGTGTGTGTATATATATTTGTTCCAGAGTTCAAGAAACAGATTATAGGAAAATTGAACAAAATATTATATAAATTAGACGGCATAGAAATCAAAATTAATATGCTAGAGGAGAAAATGCAATTTTCCTGCCATTCTTATGATAGTCAAGATGAATGTGATATTCATTTCCCGATTTCTACACTTACTGAATTAATATCCTTTGAAGATCAATTACAGGAAATCGAATTTAAAGACAAAGTTGTATGTGATAAAGATTTCTTATTTTTATATTATAGATGTTAATTTTTTTCTATAGAGTTAGTTATATCACAATTTAATGTTTAATAATTTTTGATTACATTTCTTATCACTAATTCCATGAATGACATATTTTTTGTTACTAATTGTAAAATAAAGAAGGCTCAATTTATATTAACGTATTTACAAGTCATTTAATTATTTATTAAACAAAAGTATTTAATATTATTTTTAACATTATTTATTTTTTTAGCTTAATGTTTTAAAACTTGTTGGTGGAGTTGATGCACATGCCATGATACGAAATATTATGAAAAAAGTAATAACAGACACTTTAGCTCAAAATTTCAATTGGACAGGAAAAAAAAATAAGCGTAGTTTCAAAGATTTAAATCTTTCTAAAATAATTATACGTAAGTTCTCTTTAATATAATTTTTGATTAACTTGCTTGATTCATGTATCTATTTAGAAATTCCTTTAAAATTTGTCTAAAATATACACATGTTTATAAGAAAATATTTACAATTTATATTAAAAAATATTTATGTATGTGCATTACAGAAGCTGTTCGTGTAAAACATAATAATCTGACAGATAATGACATTGCAGAATACACATCTAAATGGCTGTCTCAAGCTACTGTAAGAGTTCAAAGAGATGAAAAAAAGTATGTACATTTTATTTGTTAGGAACGTCATAATTGCTTACAGATTAATGAGATTATTTGATTTAATTAGTTTTTTTTATTTTTATTTTTAATCAGTTTATTTTAATCGATAACTAAGCTTGAACAAATAGATATGTTATTTTTTCTGTTTAATATGTTGAGAAAATGCTGTATATTATCTGAATATTATTTTCTTATAAAATTTTTAGGCTTTATAGTTATAATTTCGTATTACACTTTGACAAAAAATGTAAAACATGTTGAATTAAAATATAAATATTTGATATAATTATATAATTTGAAATTAAGTTATAATTTTTAAGTTTTCTATTAAATGTTTTAGACATATTCAGGAAGAAAAATAAAAACTAGAAGAACAGGAAGAACTAAAAAACAGGAAAAAAAATTAGAAGAGAACGACATTACCAAAAATAATACTAAAATTTTATTATAAATATTATGTAATAGCAATATATTACATAGCTAAATATTATATAATTTTATATATCATATAGTTTATATCATAGTTTATAGAATATATTAAAGATATATAGAATTTAAGACGATTAAATATTTTATTATTTTTATATTTTTATGTATATCTTTATATTTTTATTATTCAAAACTATAACCGATTATTAATTACATACATGTAATGTTTGTTTCATATAAAACTGCTTATTACATTTTCGCAAATGTATTTTTTGTTCTTACATGATTAATATATAATAAGAATAAATTTAAATGTTGCGTATATTTTATTTCATGTAACTCATATATATACATAAATATTAATTTCTGAAATATTCTCTTTTATACTGCATGTAATATATATTTACAAACACGCACATTCTAACAATCTATGAGAAATATATATCTCAGATTTAATTAGAATGTAAAAATACCACTTATTCTGTCTGTTCGCGTTGACTGAACTCGCTGCATTAGTTCAGAAGTTGTCTTTTTTGCTCGACATTGTTCGAAGGAAAAAGATAACTTCTGAACTAGTGCAGCAAGTTCAGTCAACGCGATCTTACGTCAATATAAAGCATTATAATACATATATATACATATATTATATTGCAATATTGTTGCACTATTGCATTGTAATATTGCTGCAGTATTGTATTGTAATATTGCTACAAACGGACATTTTACCGTTGCTGCAATATTGCTGCAATGTTGCAGCAACATTTTGCAACATTGCTGCAATGTTGCAATTTTGCAAATAAATATTGCTGCAATGTTGCTGCAATATTTCTGTGCCGTATGGGCGTATTATAAAATATGTTATATTCATAAACTTGAAACCTTAAATATGTTTTTTTGTATTTCTACTATTTTGTATTACTAAATATTTTTAAGAAAGTATTAAATTTTTTAAATTAAAAAAAAATGTTATACATATATATTTATATGAGAAACAAAAAATAAATGACTAACAAATATATGACTGATCTTGTTAACACGCATAAGTATAATGTAAAATATAATTAAAATACAATTAAATATGTAACATGTAATTTAAAATGTAAATAAATATGTAACTAAATATGTAATTTTAAAAGTTTTTAAAGAAAAAGATCATATATACATATATACATTAAGAAAATATTTCCAAAGATATCTAAACATGTTTTTTTCATAACAATAAATTTATTATTAAATTAAAGTATTTCACAAATTATTAGATAAAATTAATCAACATAAAGGTTGTATTAAGTAAAGATAGTGTAACAGAGATCGATCGATATTTGGACATATCCAACGCCTTCAACACCCTGCCATGGCACCGGATAGGGGCGGCCCTGGAACATCATGGGGTCCCCCAATATCTGGTGTCGATCCTGGCGGACTACTTCCGGGACAGGCAATTGGCCTATACAGATAGGAATGCCGAGGAACAAAGGCGTCATATGACATGCGGGGTTCCGCAGGGGTCGGTACTTGGGCCCCTGCTATGGAACCTTGCATATGACGCCGTTCTTCAGCAAGCCCTCCCCCCTGGTTGTCACACGGTGTGTTATGCCGACGACACACTGGTGATAGCCGGGGGGAACTCGTGGGAACAAGCGGCCGCTCGAGCAAACTTGGCGGTGAACCGCGTCGTGCGTTTGGTTAGGCAGATGGGACTCAAAGTGGCGCCCCAAAAAACCGAGGCCATCTTTTTTCACGATGGCTCTCACGGGGCGCCACCAAGAGCCCACATCTGCGTGGAGAACACCCCAATAAAGGTGGGGGCCTGCTTGAAGTACCTGGGCCTCCACCTCGACAACAAGTGGACCTTCCAGGAACACTTCCGCCGCATATCCCCCAAAGTAGAGAGGGCAGCGATGGCGCTGCAGCGTTTGCTGCCCAATCTTGGGGGACCGGGCGGGAGTATGAGAAAGCTGTACGCTGGGACGGTACACGCCATGCTCCTGTACGGGGCCCCTGTATGGTCTGAACGCCTGGAGGCTGCCCGCAGCACAAAGAATGCACTAAGGCAAGTGCAGAAGCGGGTAGTCAATAGGATATGCAGGGGCTACCGTACGGTGAGCTGGACGGCGGCGGGGGTGCTCTCCGGAGTACCCCCCGTGGAGATGCTCGCCCGCATGTACGCGGAAGTATACACGCGCACGCGTGCGCATCAGCGGGCGGGCATCATCTTGACGGACAGTCTCCGGCGTACAGTGAGGGTCCACTCCCGACGGGCGCTAATACAAAACTGGAAGGAGGCCCTGGCAGATCCAACACTGCCGGGGCAGCGCACCGTCGGGGCTATACGGCCCTGTCTAGAAAGTTGGCTAGACAGGGCCAAGGGAGGGGTGTCCTTCCATATGACGCAGGTGCTCACCGGACATGGATGTTTCGGTGAGTACCTGCAGAGGATAGGAAAGGAACGCACGACACGGTGTCACCATTGCGGCCACGAGCGGGACACCGCCCAACACACACTCGCGGAGTGTGTGGCTTGGGCGGATGAGAGAACGGAGCTCGTGGCCGCAGCAGGAGGAGATCTGTCATTGCCCTCACTTGTGGGGGCAATGACGGAAAACGAAGATATCTGGAAGGAGGAGGTGGAGAGAGAGAGGGAGAGAGCGGAAGAAGAGGAGGTAGGCGGGGACGTCCCCCCTCTTTCCCCGGCATCGGCGGGTCCGCCCGTTCGTGGTGCCGGGGATCGGGGGAGGGGGCGCCCTCTGCGGGCGGAAAAGGAGAAGAGGGGAAGTCCAACCGGGTGGCGGGGGTGTGCCCCGCCCCCTGCCCCTCCCCCTCCCGCGCCATCGCCGGGTCCGCCCGGCGGGGGCGGGGGGAGCCGAGGGGGATATGCCTCAGAACGAGAAGAGGAGGGGGAGTCAACATAGGAGGAGGGGTCCTCCCCTTTCCTTCCGTGCCGTCGGCGGGAGCACCCGTTTGCGGCGGCGCGGATCGGGGGGGGGGGTCGGCCCCGCATACCAATATAGACGCGGGGTGAGGTTTCCGGGGGGGGACCCAGGACATCTAAGTCCTGGGACACCCCCCCTTGGGATCTCACGCGAGCCGGGCGTGCGGGCGTGGCCCCCACTCTGGGGGGTGCTCCCGGGCGACCGGCAGGGTAAACCTCCTCGGCTGCGGCCGATTCCCAATTCCCAAGGGAGAGGAGGGAGTCGCAGCCGGGGAGGCCGAGGGGGGGCCACGTGTCCCGGCCGGGCAGGCTCCGCCTGTCCGGTTGGGGCGCCTGGGTCCCCCTCTGTGAGGACGTGACGTGCGGCGCCCTCTCACTGGGAGCGACGAGGCACCAGTGGGAGGGCAACGTCGTCCACGGAGGGGGTTTCTCTCCTTCCGAGAGGGACCCCCTGGTGAGGGCCTCCGGAGTGAATGCCGAATCCCCACTCCCTTCGGGAGGGGGAGGGAGCACTACTCTGGAGGCGGGGGGTGGCGGCTCGAGCGGAACACTCGAGCCGTGACCCCGCCCCCCAAACTCTTTGGGAGGGCGCGACGTGGGGTTGATACCGCCCTGCGTCGCAACCGCGAGGACCCCGCACGATGCAATTCGCGGGGGGGAGAGTGTCGCCTTCCGCGACACTCTCCCAAGGAGGGATAAGGCGGGGGGGCGGCGAGACGGCATGGGATCCCAGCATCCTCGCCGTCCCCCATAAACGCCCGAGAAGGTATCCGCAGTGGGTTTAGTAAGGTATGTCTTGAGCCCCCTGACCGATCCATTCGTGGATCGGCCAAGGGGAGCAAGAAGTCCCACATAACCATCCGCTCTCTTCCCGGAGAGCGGTGGTATCCATGAGGATTCCCACTGCGTCAAAAAAAAAAAAAAAAAGATCGACCGATATACCGTTGTGGGGTATAAACAGATATCGGATGGAGATCTCGATGGTGGTATATTTTCATTGTTGAATAAATGCAAGAATATGATACATATTCTGGATCCATATATATTTTTCTTTCCGAATCTTTTGGAAATCGACACATCTGCTGAACCTTTTTTATTCATATTAATGTAATAATCAGCGTAGCAACTATTAAGCACTTCTGATTTATTTACCTATTTTATTTGAAAAAAAAAAATTATTTTTGAGATTGGAAATATGCAAATGTTAACACAATCATATACTTTAACTTTATATAAGTAAAAATAAAAATTCAGTTATATATATCTTTCTCTCTTACACTTCTGGTTATACCTCAAGGGACAAGAACCGATCAAAAATAGTTAACGCATCGAACAATCTTTGATAGTTTCTCTAGTATCAAAGATCTTCTACATATATAAAACAGGATGATAGGAATGGGACATCCTTTACAAAACAGGTTGATAGGCATTATTGAAGACCGTCTTGAAAACTACCTTTTTGAGGACAAAACTTTCAGGACTGACCCGAAAATTACCAAAAGTCCTGGAAATTGCCATTTCATCATTAAAAGTGAACCGAAAACTGCCGTTTCATATACATATATGCAGAAGATCTTAGAGCATCCTTAACAATGTTTATGAAGTGATAGGACGAATATAAATGAACAAAAAAGTAGTATACCATTTTGCTTATATTCAAATAATTATTGAGTTAGCAATGAAAATATTTGAGGGAATGAGTGGGTGGAAAGCGGTAGGTCGGAATCAGTGGCAAGTAGGACGGCGTATTTGTCTATTTCGTTTCGTAACAAAAGTATCTTACTTTTCGGCGCAGTGTCATTACTTGCTGTTGACTCGCTGCATGACTCCGTTTTTTGTTCTGATAATGCTTTTGTTACAAAGCGACGTAAACAAATAAGTCATCATATATGCTCATCGATTACGGCCTACAATTTTCCACACGATCATTCATTCGCTCTGATATTTTAATTAATAACTGAATAATTTAATAGTTATTAGTTTAATAAAAGTTTAATAATAATTTATTAATAATAATTCTAATTATAGTTT